TAAAAAACATCATTTATCGGTAGTACTATTTATCGGTAGTCTAACTAGGTAGATGATTCTGTTGCACGACAACGCGGCAAAATCATCTCTTCTCTAGGCTGGAAAATTCTGTCTCATGCGGCTTATTCTGAAGACCTTGCTCCCGCGGATTATCATTTGTTCCGATCGTTGCAGCATTATCTGGTCGATTACCACTTTAAATCTCCCGAGGAGATCGAAAAAAGCATCATTGATTTTATTGAATCAAAACCACCATCTTTTTACTGAAGCGAGATTCGCCAACTGTCCGAAAGATAGTTGAAATGTGTGGAAAATAATGATTTTTTCGGAAATTAACACGTTTTTTTTTTTTTGTAAATAAACATTAAAATCATGCTAAAAAGGCATCGAACTTATTTATACATCTAATAATTAAACTTATTTATACATTTAATAATTAACCTAATAATTAAAAAAAATCCGCGGTGAATTGTAATGTATGTTTACATTATATAATATTATTACCTATTACGTAATTATTATGTATTACGTTAATACTGCGTAATAAATATATTGTTTGCTTGAAAAACAATGGTTCCATAAGCCAGGTTATATATATATATATATATATATATATATATATATATATATATATATATATATATATCATTGGAATCAATTTATCATCATCGTCAACTGAAGAATGAAACCTGTGCAAGATGAAAAAAGCTTGAAACCGAAGATAGAAAAAAGTAAATGCAGAATAAACTATTATAAATAAAATATTATATAGATAAGTAGCTAATATTCTCATAAAATAAAAGATAATTCACATATGTGCGCATACTGTTTTTGTAAATGTTATTCTTTCCTTTGATTAATTTTTTTATTTCAGCTCCGAGATTGTAGATGAAATGTTTTTCCAAAAAATCGAAAATCAAAGCATAAAAGTGACAATTTGTTTGATGTACTATATATCAAACGAATATATTATACACTATAATATTTAATATATTTAATATAATTAATATTTAATATAATAACTATAATATTAGTTTTAAACAAGAATAATCTTGGATTTTCAGAATTCCTATATCGTCTCTCTTGATAGATATGAATTAATAAAAAAAAGACATTTTAATATTATAATTCTTTTATTATAACATATTAAATATCAATATATATATATTTTTTTATAGCATTAATCAATCTATTAAATATATTAACTTTTTAACATAAATTAAGAACGAATATTATTAATTTATAAATAAACATTTATTAATAGCTCCAAAATAAAAAATTATATATATATATATATATATATATATATATATATATATATCAAACAAATTGTCACTTTTATACATTGATTTTCGATTTTTTGGAAAAACATTTCATCTACAATCTCGGAGCTGAAATAAAAAAATTAATTATAGGAAAAAATAACATTTATAAAAACAGTATGCGCACATATGTGAATTATCTTTTATTTTATGAGAATATTAGCTACTTATTTATATAATATTTTATTTATAATAGTTTATTCTTTATTTATAGTTTTATTTATAATAGTTTATTCTTCATTTACTTTTTTCTATCTTCGGTTTCAAGCTTTTTTCATCTTGCACAGGTTTCATTCTTCAGTTGACGATAATGATAAATTGATTTCAATGAGAAGAATGATGTCGTAACAGTGAATTATGTTTATCTATTACGTAAAAAAATTAAAAACTTAATATTGCTTAATTATATAGTAATGATTTATCCATTTATATATACAAGGTGTTCCATATGTCTTGAACCGGCTGAATATCTCGGAAAGAATTTTTGAGAGCACTTTTGAGAAAAATATTTCAGACAAAAGTTGCAACATATAAAATGGTATATTTAGTGATGTTAGCAGTTTGACTTTTTTTTTTTAGCTGGCGTCGCTAAGGTCAGGTCAAAGTCAACTTTGATTTTTTAAATATAAACATGTATTTTTTTATTATGGAATTTTATTCTACGTAAAGAAACAAGCAACTTTTGTTGAAAAATTTTTTCATACGACCCCTATTTTTTAAGATATTTGCGGAAATATCTACAAAATTATTGGTTTCAATAATTTCTTACTCGAATTCTATCAACTTCACCGAAAAATGGTAAGAGGTAAAAATTATTTATTTTTGTTTCATAGAGGTCTGAGAATTTTTTTAGAATTTTTTATTAACTTTTTAGTACTTCAAGAAAATGCAAGAAAATGTAGTACTAAAAAGTTAATAAAAAATTCTGAAAAAATTCTCAAATTCTCAATCTATGAAATAAAAGTAAACAATTTTTATCTCTTGCCATTTTTCAATAAAGTTCATAGAATTCGAGTAAGAAATTATTGAAACCAATAATTTTGAGATATTTCCGCAAATATCTTTAAAAATAGGGGTCGTATGAATAAATTCTTCAAACAAAAGTTGTTTGTTTTTTTTAGGTAGAATAAAATTCTGTAATAAAAAATACATGTTTCTATTTTGAAAAAACAAAGTTGATTTTGACCTGATCTTGGCGACGCCACCCAAGATCAAACTGCTGACATCACTAAATACATCATTTTATATATTGCAACTTTTGTTTGAAATATTTTTCTCAAAAGTACATACTTTCCGAGATATTCAGCCGGTCCGGGACATATAGGACACCTTGTATATATACAAAGTGTCCCGCATAAGACGTGCCAAAAGAAAAATATAAGTAGAATAGATAAAAGTGAAAAAATATTATAGAGGTCATTTTTCAAACAACCACAAAATTTTGAGATTAATTAAAATAGTTGGACAAATCAGAGTGCGCGATGCGGCAGTCGGGACATACGGCTTGCCGCGGCCGGCGAAGAAAATGGACGATTGCTCGTGGGCCTATCACGCAGTATCAGATCTAAGACGTAGTCCCCACTTCTGGGCATATGAGATAGGCCCGCGAGCAATCGTCCATTTTCTTCGCCGGCCGTGGCGAATTGTATGTCCCGCTTACCGCGTCGCGCACTTTGATTTGCCCAACTATTTTAATTAATATCTCGAAATTTTACGCGATTGTTTGAAAAATGACTTCTACAATATTTGTTCATTTTTATTTGTTCTATTTATATTTTTCTTTTAGCATGTCTTACGCGGGACATCCTGTATATATAAATAATAAAATTTTTTCATTTCGTAAATCTTTATGCATTTTACGTTATATTCTCAGTTATTTGTGTTATTTCCATTTAATTTGATTTTAATTAATATACTTAATATTTATGTTTATAAAATATTTATTGTTTTACATACGTGCATACATATATTAAAAAGGTTTCCGCAAACTAACAGGCTACTATTTACACTGTTTGTGTGTGTGTGTTGCTAATCCGCAGATAAATTAAATTGTATTATCTAGGAGTTTCTCCAGTAAAAATTGTATTGCTTAGTTTTCGTTGGTACCACCATTATCTTCTCTTTTTTTATGGAAATTGTTGTGTAATCCAAAAAAATGTATATGGAGATATAAATAGTATTTTTGTTTTGTCTGAAAATTTGACGTTATGGTAATCGAGATGCTCTAGCTTGCTTAAAATAAATTCATTAATGTTTATATTTAATGTATACTTTCAATATAATCGTATTAATAATATTTTACCGTTCAATTGCTATTCGTAACTTAATCACACGGAAAGTTTTGTTTATCATGCAAGACGTACTAATAATCCGAGCAAAAATTGAATCTAGTGATTGTCTAGTAATGACACAGAAAAGTTTGGTCTTACATCGCTACTAGCTAGGAATGTAACGCTCACTTCTCCTAGTGTCTGTATCAGAAAAATTATCTAGTAGCTAGGTACAAAAAAATAACTTGTAACTATAATTAGTATAATTACTAGACAGTTTTGATATTCAATTTCTATTCAAGATTTACCGATGATTTTCTATCTCGTTACTATGTAATCTAGCCACTATCTTTTTCATCTAGTCACTATCTATGTAATTGATATAGTTACTTGATAGTCCTGACATTCAAAAGTAAGAATATTTAGCCAGTCACGAGCTAGTGACTGGCTAGAAAACTTATCTAGTCGTTACTATCTACTAGTCTTGAAATCTGCTCTACTAGATACATTTTTGCTCGGGAATACGAATCATTGAGAAAGATAATCAACAATCTGAAGAACTTGCTTAAAGAATGGAACAAATTTTCTTCGGCTTCTTTCTGTTGTTTTTTATTATATTTACTTTTCGTATAAGATATACATGATGCTTTTTAATAAATAATTGCTATTTTCTAAAGATATAATATTATTTGTCGAGTGATTATAAACGGTGGTTAAAAAAAGAGTTTGTACTTTATTGATTGTGTAATATACTAATGTTTCCTGGTGGACCATATTATCTCTCACTTTTCCGAACTCTTTTATTGAATTTTATAGAGAGATAATATATCTCTCAATGTTTATACGCTATTAGAAAGTTGAAACATGCATTTACATTATAGCAGTATTGATTTGGAAAAAGTATTTTGTAATTAAATCCGTTATCTCACGAGCGAAACTGGATGTTTAATATGATCCGGTTTTAACAATAGGCCGGCCACGCGTTCCACGATTTATTCGATTAATTTGTCGAAAATCGGAACGCGGAGACATAGCATAACGCGTCTCATTCGCATACAATAGCTTCAGTTTATTCCATGAAACATACTGCGCTCCACTTAGAAAATGTTACAAGTCCTCCTCTCGCTCATCGGACTCACAATCGGATCTTTATTGCAGAGTTACCGCACAGAATGCATTTACGTAATTGCGGCGTGGAGTAATTAAGAAACATCGCGGAAAAGATAATCTATTTAACGTCACGAACTGTTGCACAAACGACAGAGAAAAACGTAATTAAGTTATCATAAATTTAACGGGACAATTTTTATAATTATTTTTACTTCTGCGACGATGCAGTCAAGGTAATGCCTGAACTGCAGCGACAATAACGACTAATCTCCCGACTGAGATCGCAATTTTGTTGTAGTGAGGGCGACAGATACGTGAAGGTAGCGTGGAAAGATGTCAAGGTGGGTGACCTGGTCCACCTCTCGAACAACGAACTGGTACCAGCCGATCTCTTGCTTCTGCGAAGCAGTGATCCTCAGGGATTAGCTTATCTCGATACGTGTAATCTCGACGGTGAGTCGAATCTGAAGCAGCGCCAGGTTGTCAGAGGTTTCCTCGATCTGCAGGATACCTTTCAGCCTTCCAAGTTCCGATCGGTAGTTGAGGTCGATCAGCCAAGTACTAGAATATATAGGTAAATATCTGACAACGCGACAACAATTTATCATATCCGTATCAAATCTTTTCAGGGATACTGATATACATATATTTACGTTTAGACAGATTCAATTCCTTTTTTAATCCAAACATTGTCAACAAAGATATAACGAACAGTATTGTAAACTTTTATGATAAAGCTGCAAGAAAAATGATAATCTTGTACAGAGTGGGTCAAATGTATGGATACACCCGAATAAATCTTCAGGACAGGATTTTCGGAAAAAGTGACCTGAACAAAAGTTGCTCGGGCCTAAAAGAACTAAAAGAACTATCTGCTGGTGACCTTGGGTTTAACCTTGGCCCTTCAAGGTTATTGAGATAAGCAGGTCAACTTTGCTTATTTAAATAGAAACATATATTCTTTATTACGAAATTTTATTCTACGTAAAGAAACCTTTTGTTTGAAAAATTTTTTTATACGATTTCTATTTTCTAAGATATTTACGGGAATATCTACAAAATTATTAGTTACAATAATTTTTTACTTGAATTCTATGAACTTTACTAAAAAATAATAAGAGATAAAAATTGATTATTTTCTTCTCATAGAGCTCTGAGGATTTTTTTCAGAATTTATTAATTAACTCTTTAGTACAGCATTTTCTTGCATTTTCTTGAAGTACTAAAAAGTTTATAAAAATTTCTGAAAAAATTCTCAGAGCTCTATGAGAAGAAAATAGATAATTTTTATCTCTTGCTATTTTTCGGTAAAGTTCATAGAATTCGAAAAAATTATTGAATCTAATAATTTTGTAGATATTTCCGTAAATATCTTAAAAAATAAAGGTAGTATAAAAAATGTTTTCAAACAAAAGTTGTTTGTTTCTTTACGTAAAATAAAATTCCGTAATAAAAAATATATTTTTCTATTTATATAAGCAAAGTTGACCTCCAAATAACTTTAAAGGTTGGGACCAAGGTTAAATCTAAGGTCACCAGCAGATAGTTCTTTTAGGCCCAAGCAACTTTTGTTCAGGTCATTTTTTCCGAAAATCCTGTCCTGAAGATTTATTCGGGTATATCCATACATTTGGCCTACACTGTATGATTAACAGATGTTATAATTGGTTGCGTTCAGTGGAACAAAGCGATAAGTGAGCAGTCAATGAGTACTGGTCCTTAGTGTTAGATTTTTAAATCTAGACTAATTACGTTGACAAATTACTCAACCGTTGCGCAACCGTTATGTTCGCTGAATATACCCATTATGTCACTTTAAAATTGTATTATGATTTTAATGTTTCATTATAATTTTAATAAATTCGTCCCTGAGAAGATTATTCATTTGCGCTCTAAAGTAATAGCATCACCCAAAATTTTTTGTAAGACTCGAGAAACACCGCGACGGCACATTAGTATTTTAAATCAGCTTTAAAATTAGCTGTAGCTTCATTTAAATTTTACGAAAAGGTGCCGTCGCACAATGAATCGAAGCTTAAGAAATAGCGGATGTGGGCCTAAAATTGAATTGCCAAAACCTTTACTTATGTTTATAAATTCTGATATTAAATTAGTTGTAAATTATTGAAATAATTCCGTTTACTCGAAATATTTTCGTTATTTACGTACGAATCTACCATAATATAAGTCATATATATTAATATCTGTAATTTCCATGACTTTCTCGTCGCAATCTTTCAAATTGCTTTATTTTTACATAGTTTTAATGATCCACTGCAAGTTTTGTATATTACATATTATATTACATGTTTTAAATGAATGACTATAATATTAAAAACAGTTTTATCGCATTTTTTAGACATTTTCCGGAACAATATCTGATCAATGAGAAAATATATGTGTTGTCGTTAAGCTTTAAAAAAAATGTTTCAGATTGTTTTAACATTCTCTTACATTATACCGTATACGTTTTACTACATTTCTAGAGAAAATTTAAGTGTCGCTAGATGCCACTTTGCAAAATATATAACATTTTCTGAATGGTATTCTATATATGTTTAGATTCAAGATAAGAGGTAGGATAAAAAAAGTAGGCAGAACGAACTAATTTATTAAGAATTCTAAACATAAAATTTTTTTCATTATTCTAAAGAAAAGGAGAGTGGATCGAAATATTGCAGATTGTGGATATAATAAATATTGCTTTCATGTAATGAAAATACAATGGTTCATATATTTTCATATATTTTTTTTATATTTTTTTTTTTATAATAGTTTTATGCTACTTAAACCTTGATCTATAATGTGTTATTTGCTTTCTGTTACTTTTTTTTATCTCTTTCTGACTCAAGTCTTAAACCTTAAACTAAAAAAAGACAGAAAACAAGAAACAGGAAGCAAAGAACACATTGTAGATCAGGCTTTAGAGTTCCAGAAATCTTTGATTTAGACGTTTTACCACTAATATGTGCTAAGTATTTTTTACCTACCTAAAGTGAACCAAGTAGTGGATGCATAATCGGACTTATAAAGTTTTTTGTGTGCGTGTGTGTATGAATGTGCGTGTGTGAGTGTGTGTATATATATGTTTGCGTATGAAAAAAACATTAAAAGTTAAAAGTTCAAATTAAAAATTATAGCGTTTCAGAAAGCAGCTCATGTTTTTTTCTGTACTCTGACATGACCGAGAATTCGAAATAATAGGATCGAAAGAAATTGATAAATGATCTAAATATATTCGTTTGTGTTACTATATTTGTTTTATTTTGCAACTTCCACTTGGAATATATCTTAAGTAAACAAGAAATATCTAACAAGTATTAATGGTAAAATCTCAAAATTATTGCTTAAAGACTTTTCAGACTATAAAAAATAACTAGATTAAAAGCACTAAATAACCCGATTGGCACTATAGATAACTTAATTGACATGAAACCATCATGAAAAATTAATATCTTTGTTGAAAAAATTTATAGAATAATGGTATTTTCATTAATGAGAAAAATATCTATTGTGTTGTATTGTGATGTGCCATTAGTGTATCATTTTCTGGAGCTTTATAAGAAATTTTAGATGGCGCCATTACGGTGTTCTTCGAGTATAGAGAATTAAATCTGCGTTCGATGATTTTCGAGAATTCCAAAAGGAATTTAGATAAATTCCTCTCGTTTGAATTCGCTGATTCATGTAAAAATATTGGATATTTTGCAGCGTATGCTCCTCTTTGATATATAACTTTCACTCGTCTTAATGCAAAACTTTCACTCGACGTTGCCGGTAATTTATGCCGAATGGACGCTTATCGCAATGGCTATTTATAATTGCGATAGGCGTTTAAGATGGAATTCGCGTTAACCGGATTACGTGTGATCTCTCACGTGCTGATGCATCTGCTAGGTTTCACGGCGCCGTGGTGCATCCAAACGGCGGCAGAGTGCCCGTATCCACGGAGAACCTCTTGCTCAGGGAGTGCGTCTTAAAGAACACCGATTTCGTCGAGGGTATAGTTATATACGCCGGTCATGAGACCAAGGCGTTGCTGAATAACGGCGGACCCAGGTACAAGGTAAATATCAGTATATGTAAAAAAAAGGCATTGGAAATATGAAAAGAATGCTAAATATATATTTCGTTTTAACAAGAAGGGTATTTCAATTGCATATGTTATAAAAAAAGAATATGCATTTATTGAAAACGGATTACATTAAAAATAACCTTGAACAAAAATAGAAAAAAATTTGCAGAAATACTAAAGAAATTATCAAAGGAAATAAGAATGGTTCTAATAAGTGAGAAATTGAAATGCATACCTGTTCTATAGAAGCTACTGTCACCGTTTTTTGACAAAATATTACAATTATTTATTGAAAATGACATATTCGTTGTACATACCGTATATTAAAATGTGTAATCAAAATGTGTTCTCCCTTTTCAGTATTTTATTAATGTTCTACACATATGTTATAATATTAATTATTTAAGAAAGATACACGTCTGGGATTTCAGTACTCGAAATGTTCGTATAGATAATTCGACAGATTTGAGAATACTTTTCCTCATATTGATTTACGTATTTTGCAATCCGACATGCAATATTCTATGAATAACTTTAACTGATATATGTGCTTCATAAAATGACTGAATGAAATTTAGTGTGTAATTTATTTTTCTATTAAAAATTTTGACATTAATTAAATATTAAAAAGTGTCACAACATTTGGATCAAAATGCATATAATATATGTGACGAAGATCACTTTCAATGAATAATTCTTATATTTTGTCAATAAACCGATGGTTCTTATATATAGGTTAGATATTTTTCTATTTCAGTATTTCAGTAAAAAATTGTACAAGGTAAATGTTAGATATGGAATATGGATTAAGGTTCAGATAGGACGCGAATATTTTATGAATAATTTTAACGAATACATTTATATATTCTATGAATATACTAAATGCGCTATTATGTGTTCATATATTTGAATGGCATAACTATACACTATATACATGTTCTATAAATATATATAGAAAATTTACAAAATATAGATTAATCATTAATTTCGCTTTTGCAATTACGAAGGAACAATTGGAGTATTTCATCTTCTAGATACGTTTCGTCACTAAGCTACAATAAATATATATTATTATTTGTGGAGCATTTGAAAAACTTGTCAGTTACATAATTGCACATCCGCAGTAAATGAACCTTACGAGCGTTGTGAGAACGTTCCTTTCTATTATAGATACACGAATCTCTATATCTACGATGTATTGTACGTATATTCACAGAATATCTATAGAACATTTTGTGTGCTGGGGAGCGTGCGCACCGCATACGCAAGGGAGTCGCAACGTAACGCGTACGTCATGCCGTCCTTTTCAGCGTTCCCGTCTGGAGAAATACATGAACCGGGACGTAAAGTGGTGTGTGGTGATATTGGTGACATTGTGCCTGATCGGCGCATGTGGCTGCCGATTATGGTTGGCCACGTACGCGGACACTGTGGCGGCGATACCGTTCCTGCCGGTGCTGCACGAGCCGCTCTACGAGAGCATGCTGACCTTCTGGACCTTCGTCATAATATTCCAAGTGATGATACCGCTCAGCTTGTACGTGACGATCGAGATGGCCAAGGTGGGGCAGGTGTACCACATCGGCCACGACCCGGCCCTCCACGACACGGAAACTGGCCGTAAGGCCGAGTGCCGTGCGCTGAATATCACGGAGGAACTAGGCCAAGTGAGTGCGGCGATTTATATTAAATGAATTCGCGCGAGCACGGCTGTTTTATGCACGATTGCCGTCACGGAAAATTCTGTTCGTTCGAGGAAATTGAACATAACACGGCATGTTCAATTGTATTGAAGTATGGACGAGATTTCTGCTTTCCGACATTATTTTGTTTTACTAATTATTTGTGATATCAATACTTATGTTCTTTTATCTTTAGTAATATTTATCTCTTTTGTATCCTTATTGGAGTAAAAGCAATTTTAATATTTCCTGGCTCTATTCGCCACGCGCGCGCGCGGAGAGAGAGAGAGAGAGAGAGAGAGAGAGAGAGAGAGAGAGAGAGAGAGAGAGACAGACTTCAACTATTCTCTATATATTTATTTCAATATATTTCGCAAGGATTTTAGGTATGCGTTTTTTCAATTCTGTCGTAAATCAACCCAGATAGCACAGGAATATTCTATGTTAATTACTACATGCATATTACTATTTGGAATGTTCTGTGAATATTTCTTCCTTACAAATATTTGTACATTCTGTAAGAATATTAAAACACAGCTATGTTCATAGAATATTCAAATGACCAGATGTTAATATTCTTTGAATATATACAGAATATTTATATATAAAATATATGTTAATTTTTCTTTTAATTAATTGAAAGAAGAATTTGAATATTTTATTTTTTGTATAAATACACACACACACACGTTTTATTACTAAGTTATAAGAAATACATATTACTATCTGAAACTTTTAGAAAACTTTTCAGTTACATAAATGCATCACACGTGCGTAGTAAATAAACCTTATAAATGTTTTAAAAACGTTTTTTATTATAAATTTACGAATCTCTATCAATATATATACAAACACTCACATATATAAGTCTATAGAATATTGTATACAGAAAAACAGAAAAGTATAATTGGCTCACGTATAAATCTGGTTGTGCCAATCAGATTCAGTATTGAATCTAGTTGGCATAATTAGATTTATGCGTAGACTAACCATACTATTTTTTCCGTGTCTATACATTTATAGAATATTGCTTCAAATATTCTGCAATTAAGAACATTTATATTTCCTAAGGATATTCATAGGATATGTGCTATCTGGGAAGATGATCGTGACAAGATAAACTGATCATTTCTCGTAATATTTGACATACCTTCGTTTGTTTCTCAGACATAAGTGGTCTGTTCTTTTTAGCTGCACTGCTGAATTAGTGCAATAAGTTAAAATGAGATAAATATACTTTTTTTCACTCTAACTTATTGCACCAGTTCAGCAATGCGGCTAAAAAGAACAGAGCAAATGTTTTCTTGTAAGTATCTATAAAATTATACAATGAATATTACTCGGTACATTATACCGTTTGAATGGCAGGTGCAGTACGTCTTTTCCGACAAAACCGGCACTCTCACGGAAAACAAAATGCTATTTAGGAGATGCGCAGTGGGCGGCCAGGATTACTCGCATATGGGCGACAACGAGAATCTGTTTCCGTGTGCGCGGCTTAAGGAGGACCTGCTCATAGGTACATTTCGACATCGCTTACAGGAGTTTCTTATTGTCTTAGCCACGTGTAACACGGTTGTCGTAAATTCTCAACCGCATCACGATATTATGAACTCTAGCGGGGTCATCGAGGAACCTCACAAAAACGGCACTTGCCCGACGAGGTTGGTACACGCTAAATTAGTGAAAGAAAAAAAGAATAGAGAAAGCACAAAAGTGAGAAATTAAGAGAAAAAGTATTTTTTCATTGCGCTTTAGAAAAAAAAGTATGAAAATAAAATTATACTTTCGCGCCAATGGAAAAATCGTGTTGATTGTTGTTGCACACTTTTGTAAAGTTCACATCGTGAAATTTATCCTTCACAATTATTAACACCGTTGTGCTCGATAGAACGACGGAGTCGGACACAAACTCATTTCCGACCGCTGCTTCGCCGCCGATATCAATGTCTCCGAACAACGGAGCTATTCGCACGTTATCTCCGGTGTCACCAATGATCAGCACGGCAAATACATTCGACGACACGTCCAAGTTCCCGTTTAAACTCACTAGGTAAGCGCACGCGACGCCTGGAAAATATATTTTGCGAGCTGTTTGAAAGATAAAAATAATTATGCACGCGTAATCTTTGCAGGCCGAAGTTGCTGAACGTAACGTCGATACCGAGCCTGGGCATCGGGCTGTTGGGCGGGCGCAAGCAATCGCCTGACGGCCCGAAGAAGCGCAGCCCTCTGAGCCCGGTCGCCATCGCGAGGAACGGCGACGGCGAGTTGCTGCCGAGTCCGGCGATCTACGAGGCGGAGAGCCCGGACGAGCTGGCGCTGGTGCACGCGGCACGCGCGTACGATGTCAAGTTAGTGAAGCGTTCGCCCCGCAGCGCGATCGTGTCCTTCCCGGACAAGTCCACGTTAGCCTTCGAGATATTGCATGTAAGTAGTGTCCGCGATGAGTCACAGCGCGAACGACACAGAATTCCATGTCGCAAGTATGCCGTATTTCTTGTCCCGAAACATGAGCCGTGGTTCGATGGTTTTGCAGGTGTTGCCGTTCGACGCGAGCAGGAAGTGTATGTCGGTGCTGCTGAGACACCCGCATACTCGCGAGATCGTGCTGTACACCAAGGGTGCCGACACGACGATGTTGCCGTCGCTTTCAGCGAGCGACGAGAATACCGTCGCCGCGGCCAATATTCGCCAGTACCTGCAATCGTATGCCCGTCAAGGCCTGCGCACCTTAGTAATGGCACGTAGAACGCTGAACGAACAGGAGTACGAGGCGTGGCGTCAGAAGCACAACGAAGCGGAACTGGCAACAGAGAACCGCGAGCGTCGTATACGCGACTCGTACACGAGCTTGGAGTCGCACTTGACGCTCTTAGGGGCGACCGGTATCGAGGACAAGTTGCAGTCCGGCGTGCCCGAGACAATGGCCGCCCTCGTCGGCGCCGGGATTGTGGTGTGGGTTCTGACAGGTTCGTGGAAATTGCGCGGGAGTGCATGAGTGCACGCGCTTCATCGTCACGGACTTTCGCGGCGCAAACCGGTTTAACGACGGCCGCGGCCGCGGCAGTGGCAACGACAGCAACAGCGACTGATGTGCACTATTTTTAGTGCGATCATCGTAGAGATGTATCGCCGTACGAGATAGTCGTCGTTATGTCGAATCACGACTGGATCTAATCTCCATAACTCACCTTGTTGCACCTATAAACGTTATGTAAATGACGTTATGTAAATGCAACAACAAAAAAGAAGCTATGGAGATGAACGTATCAGGAAAAAGAGAGAGAAAGAAAACCGTAGGAGAACAAAACGAGTCTTGAAACCAGTCTGCGCGTTCTTGAGCGTAATTAGCGCAAGCGCTAATATTACCAGCAGCTCGTGATCGTGCGTGTATCACGTTATGTGACGCGTTCTTGCTGTCCGTTTCAGGTGACAAGCCGGAGACCGCGGTGAACGTGGCGTATTCAGCACGGCTGTTCTCGCCGGCAATGCAGCTGCTGCAGCTACAGGCAAGATCCAAGTCCGTAGCTGAGGCGCTAATACGTGGCTACCTGGAGTCAGCACGCAGGGAAAGCATGAACAACGCAGCTCATACGCAGGAATCGACAGGTGTCATGCATCCCGCTATGATGTACAATCGCGATCCCGCGGAGAGAGACGCGCACAGGATAGGCAGTCCATGGTCGCGACAACGCGCTCTCGTTGTCGACGGCAAGACGTTGACCGTGATTCTCGATCCGCGATCCGGTCTCACCGGCTCGTTCCTGGAACTCACGAAAACGTGCTCTAGCGTTTTAGCTTGCCGTGCCACGCCGTTGCAGAAGGTAACAATGATATTGCGCTTTCTTGAATGTAAAGGGGTTTCTTTATACATTTATTTTATAAGAAAATCTATGTTTTTGCATATCTATAAATCATATCTAAAAGAATGTGGTTCTACAACATTACATTAATATTCGCACAAAGACGAATGTATAAGAAAATTTGTAAGAGTATCTCGTTGGCAGTCACACGCCCTCTTGTTCAGGCGAACGCGCTTGCAATATACAGGGTGTCCGATAACTCACAAAAGAGCCGTGGTGTACAGATAGATTAGGTCAAACTGAACAAAAAATTTCTCTACCATTTTGCGAACAAATACGTAAAATTTTGAGTTATTAATAAAAAAAGATTCGTTAATAATCACGCGCCATACGGTAGATGAACTGTAATGGGGACGTCTGCCGCTGTATGCTTGTATATTAGGTCAAACTGGACAAAAAAGTCCTCCCCCTATCGGTTATTTTCCAAATAACCACGTAGATGTTTAGTTATTAATTAAAAAAGATTGGTGCATTATTGCACACCAAACTTGTATGCCAAACTTCTTTTATTAATAACTAATATGTACTAAATATGTACATTTGGAAAATGGTAGAAAATTTTTTTGCTCAGTTTTACCTAATGTACAAGCATACAGCAGCAGACGTCATCATTTATGGCGTGATCATTCACGATCATCTTCTTTGATTAATAACTTAGAATTTTACGTAGTTGTTTGCAAAATAGTAGAGGAATTTTTTGTTCAGTTTGACCTTATCTACCTGCATACTGCGGCTCCTCTGTGAGTTATTCTATATAGTTTTTTAGAAAGGTCCCTGCAATTATCTGTTTCCTCTATGATCACTCAGAAATAACGAAATGTCCGATAGAAATATCAATTTGTGTAAAAAATATTTAAGATTCGTATAGTTTAATTAATTCTTGAAGTTTTGAAGATTTTTCTCAAAAATATTCTCGAAAACAATATTTAAGTTTTCTCGGAAAATAATTTATCAGTCACGCACAAATTTAGAGAAATTACTCTTTAAGGCTCCTTTCTATTCATGGCGGTCATTTTAACTGACATCAGAAGCGGAACAACACTCAAAATTTTTGCGAGATAAGCAGAAATATAAAGATATATCCATAAAATGACATTTACAATTGATCGAACAGGTTAAAAAATCCGAACACTTTCCTGTTGCTTCAACAATCAATAAATAACTGTAAAATTCACAATCATAATAGAATCATGAGAAAAGATAAGCTAAAAGGATAATTTGCATCACGTTATTTTACGGTAATTTATTGATTGTTATAGAAAAAGAGAAGTGTTCGGATTATTTTATAGATATATTCGATCGACTGCAAGTGTTATTTTATGAATATATCTTTTTATTTCTACGTATTTCGCAGAAATTTTAAATACTTAAATTTACTTAATTCTATATTATACACAGGCTCTCAAAAGTATAAAATTTAAATTAAAAGTCATTAATATTCAGATAAGAGAGAGAGAGAGAGAGAGAGAGAGACAAACGCTGATGTTAGAGCGAATATTTTACTAAATACTGGGAAGATAGTTTGACAATGTAATCGTATGTACCGGATTTTTCAATTTTTAATAACGTACGGGACGAATCAACCTTCCACATCAAAACAATCCTGTATCCCAATTTTTGATATTAATATTAATTAATCTCCCTAATTATACTAAGATTACCGATTTTTTTATTCATAATTATGATTTAGTAAAATATTCCCTCCAACATTAGCGTTCGGTTCTTACTTGCCTATTATGTTTAATTTAAGACGAAAATGTAAATTTAACACGTTTAAACGTTTAAATTTTTTTGCTTTTGACAATATCAATCAAGAGTTCTGCGACGAATAGCTAGAAGACTTAAATATTTTTTTATTAATTTGAACATAATTTTTAATTTATAGATTTTTTCCGAGATATTGTTATTTAAAATAAAGAGAAAATACACACACACAAAATTATTTTTATTCGCTATTTTGTTAATTTCTCAAAAGTAAAAAAATTCTCTTATAGTACTCTAATATTTTTGTTGTCGATAGACAAGGATAGTATGAATAATATATTCTTTAATATCTAGTCTCAGATCAAAATTACAACTTGCAATCGTACAAAATTTTGCTTTATCATCTATAATTTGAAATTTATATTTTATTTTAAAAAATATATTCTTTATAGTATATTTTCCTTATTCTGCTAATAATAAATCTATGAAACTTTAATTGATTGGTAATAATTAATTGATTAATAAGTTCTCTTTTTCATAAAAATTCAAAGAAATTTATTCTTGTCACCTAACACATAAGAACATTTTTTAAGGCTTCTAATTTCTCGTCACGGCCATCTTGATACATTAGAAGCATGAAAGAAAATCTCTAAATTCTTAAAACAACTTTAAAATGAAAGTATACGTCGATAAAACGACACGTGCGATCGATTGAGCAGATATTAAAATACTACAAAAACTCGTTTTGCTCTAATAATCAATAAATAGCCATACAATTAACGTGACCTATAGCCTATTTTATAACTACGTGATTTTGTCACGCTAATTTTGCGGCTATTCATTGGCCATTGGAGCAAAGGGAAAGTTTTCGAAATATTTTACAAACCTATTTAGTCAGTTGCAAGTCTCATTTTATAAATATATCTTTTTACTTCAATCTATTTTACATGAATATTTTTGTATTTCAACATGTATTTTTTTTTATACACATATACAGACGCACACATTTTTGACGTCATTAATCAAGATGGTCAAGGCGAGACGATGAGAATCTTAATCTCTCTTTTAGATATTTTAAGTTTCCGTGGTTTGGGGAAATACCTGATCCGAGTTGGTGTTACGTCTTTTGTCGTTTTAAAAAAAGTTGAACGACGTGGACCCGGAAGCGCTAGATCAAACAACTTTTACTTTTAGAAAATGTTAATATAAAATGATATAAATATATAAAACATGTTGCAAAAATATCAACTCGTGAAGTATTATAGTATAGTTGCAACATGAGTTAAGAAAAAGATGTGGAAATAATTAGCAACATAATCAATATTTTATATTTTAGGCATACATAGTCCGCATCGTTAAAAAGCAATTAGGGATGAGAACACTAGCGATCGGCGACGGTGCGAACGATGTCAGCATGATACAGACCGCCGATGTAGGCGTAGGTATTTCAGGTCAAGAAGGCACGCAGGCGGTGATGGCCGCGGATTTCGCGATTTCCCGCTTTTCCATGCTCAGCCAACTCCTTCTTGTGCACGGGCATTGGTGTTACGATCGTCTCGCCAGAATGATTTTGTACTTCTTTTATAAAAACGCCACCTTCGTCTTCCTCATATTCTGGTTCCAGGTACGCAAACGAAGAAATAAATAAAAACACAAACGTAGAAATAAATGAAAACAATGCTTATAAGAACTAAATGAAGAAACAAGTAAAAATATAGACAAATATGGAAAAAATATAGAAAAATATAGAAATACAGAAAGACAAATATAAAAATATAGAAAGATAAATATAGAAAAAAATAAACTTTTGTAAGATAGACTTTTGATGGAAAAGTTAGGTGTCTATTTTTTTATAAAGTTAATATTTAATATTAAAATAATATTTTTCTTTATGTTTTTCGTAGTTGTATTGTGGTTTTTCCGGTGCCGTAATGATGGACCAAATATATTTAATGCTGTACAACTTACTGTTCACTTCGCTGCCACCTCTCGCTCTGGGTATTTACGATCGGTTCGCCGCGCCTCACGTACTGCTCTCAGCGCCAAATTTGTACAAAAGGGGACGCATGGGCCTAGTCTATCAATCGTATTCTTTCTGGATTACGATCATTGATGCTCTGTATCAAAGCATCGTTATCTTCTTCATCGCTAAAGCCGTTAGTATCGGAATGGTCATGTCGGAATTATTGTGATAGCAAAATTACATTACAACAAAAGAACATGATTGTGATATCATACTATAAGACTTCGTTGTTGTCTTTCAGGTTTATCACGACTCGACTATCGACATATGGGAATTTGGTACAACTGTTATGACGGCGTGCATCGTCGTCATGCTGCTTCATGCTGCCATAGAAACTAGATCTTGGGTAAGAGAGAAGAAGTGAAGTTGAACGAGGAGTTGATCGATAAAGTTTCTATTTCCACGTCGTGGCAATTTTGATTAATCCCTTGCAGTCTAAATTATTCTCGGCTTTTTTTCTCAATAAAGAGAGATTCATGGAAATTCAGTTACTTTGCGACAATATCGCATAATTTGCATTTATTTCAATATTTCAAGATTAAATTAAAGCAGCAAGAGCACATTTACAGTAATATATTTAGATTGAGTATATCCTATTGATAAACAAAAATTTATAGAATCGATTAGAATGAAACATGATGAAGCTCGGGTCGATCGCCCCGTAAGAAAAACTTTTACTGAAACGATTTTTTCTTTCTTTTTAGAAGTATGAGTAAATTGTTGTGTCGTTAAATGTCATTTGTGAAGCGAACAGCAAGAAGCAGGCGCGGATGTATTTAAGTAATAACGAGACTATTCAGTTTCTTCTATTTCTGGCCGACCCGCGCTTAACGAAACGCCTCGTATAACTATAATACAACGTTATACATGTGCTTTATTATTTTTACTTATTGTGTTACTATCATTTGTATCAAAGAGAAATATTGTGAGATATTGATTTAGAGCTTTTATTGAGTAATTATATTGAATGTTATATTGATAACATGCGTTATTGCATGCGTCTGATAGTATTTTGATAACGATCGAATTAACGTTGTATGGCGTTTACTGATGTAAGGAGAATGTTGCGG